GTCTTCTCTCTGCAAAATAAAAACCTGCATGGTAAAATCAAGTGGGCATTTATTAAAATATTTGTACATGCGTCAAGCCTCAAAAGTCTTGTTGCAACCAAATTTTGCCTCTTCACATGGGGACATTGCACGGACTGCAGGCAATAAGTATGTTTTTAAAAACCACGAAATGTCATCAATTTTGACAGAACAATCTTGTGCACTTCTCTCTTGTTGTGGACCTTAATGTGATTGCGAGCTCAAATTTTAATTTTGGTGTAGTTTTTCTTTCAAGCATGTCGGGGCTATTTTCGCAATGGTTTAATTTGTGGATCAAGTAAGGGTGCTAAATGGAAGGAGTTGAGCTAATTGGTTAGCAAGAAAGTTGGGCTTGACTCGTCCCACGAGCTTGTCCCTTGGTCAGGGCAAGTTGAGCTGATGCGCGAGCAAGTTGACTTGCTCTGCTCGCAAGCCAACTCGTGAGAACCGATGAATGGCTCATACGAATGATTTAATGCTCGATTTGCCTTCTAAGCTCACGTTACTAAACACTCCTAGGGTCATGTAATTCTTTATTCAAGTGAGTTGAGTAGTTCTTGAGCTAATTTAGCATTTTCTATAACCCTGCCTTCAGGAAATTTCTTTTTTTTTTGGTGGGTATTTTCACCGTACCTCTCTATCTTTGATGAATATCAAAGAATATCTAACTAAAATTTCATTAGACAGATTATTAAAGAGCTAAGAACGTAGTCCAATGGTAAATTTGCAATATGTTATTTTTTGATATATGTAATAAAATATCAACATCTTATGAGTGGATTGATACTTTAGACTTGAACTTGAAATATTTATCTTTTTTGTCATATTGAGTACGAATGAGACAACTCACTTATTCTTTGGGAGAAGAGAGTGGCATTTGTCAATGGACTTCCCTACATACTAACAAACTAAAGTTATTGTTGTGTCATGTGTGCCTTCCTCAATCACGACTGACATTTATGATTGCATCTAAGTGCCAATTCAAGTGGTGATTTCAAAATAAATTGACCTCTGTAAAATGATAGTATTAATTCGTTATTGAATCTAGAAATTTAAATTTTCATACGAGGTTGTCATTTAGTTTCCACATGTGAACTTAATCAAGATTTGAGGACCAATTTAAGGTTCATCAACTATAAAGTTAGATAAATGGAAAAACTTCTTCTTTCTTAATGGACAGTGGAATCACAATTCACTCTTTAGGGTTTTGGAAGTCCTGAACTACAGTTGGTGGGTTGGAAAATCATGCTAGTCTCTAGAAACACGCAAAAAGTGATGTGAAAAACAGAAGAGGGTTTTTTTTTTTTTTGGGAGTGGGGGGGTGGGGTGGATGGGGTGTTCTCAAATCTATCAACTTAGCCTTTGTTTGAACCCCATTCTTTTCATGAGAATTAATTTTTAAACAGTGTATTGATGAGAAATATATGGTTAAAAAATAAGGAAATCTTTTAAATTTGCGTGTAACATTATTTTACTAAATAATGTGTAGTTAAAATGATGTCAAAATACTGTTTAAGAATGCATTTTTTTTTTTAATGAATAGGACTCAAACAGGAACTTAAAGTTAAAATTTGATAATCTTTTCCTTACGTCGATTCCATAGTGTTTTCAGTGAAACTTGTCAATGTGACATATATTCTCTAAATTACTAGGTTGTTGACTAAAAATATTTGTCAGATTTGATTTTAATTCTAAAATTGAGTTTAAAGTGTTATTTTTAATGGAGTTTTATCTAAATAAAGTGTATTTATAAGCACCTGCATTGTAACATCAAACAATTATTCGACCAGCACAAAGTTTTTGTGTTCTATAATCTTAGAACTCTTTTCTTAAAGATCGTGCTATAAGCCAAAACTATTCAAAATTTGATTTTGAAACGT